TGAGGTAATTGCCCGTTAGGAGAATGAGCGCATACAGGGAGACGTATAGAGAGTAGTGTTTGAATAATACACACACAGCACACAGATACACTGTACAGTAAATGTAGGGTTTTACTGTGAATAAAGGTTTAAGCAAAGTTCAAAATAGTCGTTCACAGGTAAATCCAAAAGGCCAAAGTCCAAAGTAAATCCAAAAGTCCAAAGTAAATCCAAAAGTCCAAAGTCGTTCACAGGTAAATCAGTCAGTTTTTCAATCCAGGGATAATCCAAATATCAAAGTCCAGTGTCAAAAAACAGTTCAGTATCAGACTTACATCAGATCCATGAATATCAGTCAATTAGGAAAAATGGAGGAACGGCAATACTTTCCAACAGAAGGAAACAGAGATATACTCACACTCTCTTCTGAGACTAAGACAAACCAGGTTTCTGGCTCCATCTTATGGCCGTTTGAAAAACCACACCTAATTACAGTTTTGCATTTTCTTAAAGATACAGTTTTAAAATGTTTATTCTGGTTTATATATTTCCATCCCAAATACCTGTTAGGTGACTTATATTCCTAACATGCACCATGCTAATTGCCCAAAGCTGTCACCTATCCAATTATCTAATGCCATTGGACCACCTTGCTTGCTTTATGCTGTAAAAGTATTTGCTTTGCTGCCTTGCTTACTGTTGTTGAAATTGCTGCTTTTTATCCAATAGGAGCAGGGTTATCACTGGTGTTCTACTGGTTAGCTTGAGATTATTTAAAAAAAAAACTAAAGTTCAGTTCTCAAAGCATTAATGTTTTGATCAAACATAAGATCAAACATTTTTCAAGAATTTTGTTTTCAGAACACTCTTATGTTCTGTTGAGTTTTGAACTCAAAACCTGTTGATAATGGAATACTTTTGATTCTTATGATTACTTACAAGGTGATCACCAATGTATAAGCTATTTTAGGAAACCAATATTATATCTGAGTTAAATTCTTAAATTTTATTTATTTCAAATTTTTCATGTTTATTATTTATTTATTTGTTCCAGTTGTTCGATGGCATGGTGTCTCATAATTATATCTGAATTATCTGATTATACCAAATATTAGTAAGAATATTAACTTATATATTACTCATACAGGATAGAAAAGTAATTCTTATTTACACTCTGGATGCTCTGTTACTTGAAAAAAATAGTTTCCCAAAATAACAGTACCTCTTGGAAAGAATACCTATATTCACAGAGACAGAAATGTAAATGTTCTGTTTATAACAGTGGAGAAAGATTTTTTCCTATGTTCAACTGGATCAGCATTTGGCAGTATCTACATATTTGCCAATACTTTTTTTTTTATTATTTTGAGATCCTTGGGAGTTTTCAAGAAGATTTTGAAGGAATTAAATATTTGCTACCTGCTTCGTTTAAATGAAATCATTTTGTCATTTGAATTCAGCCATTTTGTTTCTAAATGCAGTCGAACATTATCACCTGAGTTTTGAGAGAAGGGATATAAAATGGGATTAGAAGACTATAAAATAGTTTCAGTTTGTGATGACTTCTAATTCCTCCCTCCTGTTTTTAAGAACAACCAAACTGAAATTTGGCCATTTGACATTGCACTCTCGGGAGTCTAGGGAGCCACAGTTTGGATGCCGCTGGCCTTGGCTGTTCCACCTCTGCTGTAACTGTCAGGTCTTTGTGGTCCATAAACCAGGGTCTATAAAGAGTTGTATACCTGTTTAGATCAAGAGTAACACATGAAAACACCTGTATTGCTAGAATTTATTTTTAGAATTTAAGATTGTAATTTATGGTTTGTGATTCAAAATCTAAACTTATTTGGATATATTATAATTGAAATATTATAATTCAGATACATTAATACATGCTTAATTCTCAAAGATGCATTTATATCTAAAATTAAAGGTGTATGCTAAGGATGTTTGAAATTAATTTGTAATTATATAGTAATAATAGCAATAATAGTAGATGGTAATTGCTTACTATTAAAACAATTTCTTCCCTACATTAACAGAAGGCTACCACGACCCAGCAGTGCACGACCAGCTCCACCCCGTATAAAACGACAACAGAGTACAGAAATTTTAATTCCAGAAAGGTAGGAACAAATTATGAATAATGAAAAAAATCTTAATATTACTGATACACTTAACTATTCTATGAGAGCCAGTTTGGTGTAGTGATTAAGGCAGGGGTGTCAACCTCTATTCATTGAGGGCTGCATCAGGGCTTTGTTTGATCTCGGGAGGGCAGGTGGGTATGGATGGGGTGGGCATGGCCAGCTCAACATCATTTGTGTTGAGGGTGCCTGTGGTGGCCCCGGCAGATCCATTGTCTCCAGAAGGCGAGACCAGGGAGAAGCCAAACCCTTGTCCTCCAGAGGAGCTTCACTGTCCCTATCAGGCCATGCAGACGGCTCTGGACAGTGGCCCGGGCGGTAGAGCCTTAGGCAGTGGAGGGCAAGCGCCCAGCTCAATCCTTGAGCTTCCAAGGCACCAGGATCTGATAGGCCAGGCCAGCCCAGTCCCACTTCCCCGAGGGGGTGCCCGGCTGTGTTTACCTTTCCTTGAGGCTGCTGCTGCTGTCCTCACACTCCTTGTCCAGGTTGCTCATGGTGTGTGGGAGGGCAATGTGTGTGGCTCCTCCATGTGAGGAGACCCAGCTTTGTAACCAAAGCATCCTCAGCAATAGGATGGGAGACCACCAGGAGAGGTCAGAAGAAGAAAAGGGAATGGCAAAATGGCAGCAGAGCTGCTGGTGGCCAAATGCTAAGGCAGGACTTCCCTCAGACCCACCCTCCCTCTCATTATAATCTTCCTTCCCCTCTTTTCTTTGTTTTCCTTCCTTGCTCTCTTCCCATATTTCCTTCTTTTTCTTTGCCTTTCTTCTTTCTCTTTCTCCTTTGCTGTCCCTTCTTGGATGCTCAAATGCAAAAGGGGAAACATTTCTAAATGCCAACTTGCCTTGTGATCAAATGCCACTTTTGCTAGTAGTGTGTTTTGCTAGCACTCTACCAGCTCTGTTTTCAGCTGCAATGGTCTCATACAGGGCCCAGCAGAGATTATACTATCTGAGACTTCTCAAAAAACAACAACTGAATGAAAAACTGCTGGTGATCTTCTACTGCTGCACTATTGAGAGTATCTTAACTTACTGCACCTGTGTATGGTTTGCCAATCGCACAATGGCAGATAGGAGAGCACTCCAGACAGTTAACGTCATTGCCTAGAAGATCATTGGTTGCCCTCTCCCCTCTTTGGAAGAGCTTTATAGCTCCCACTGTCTTAAGAAAGTTCAAAACATTCTCAAAGATTCATCTCATCCTGGACACCCTTTTTTTTAACTATCACCATCTGGATAATAAAAACAAGGACAAATAGGCTGAAAAACAGTTTCTATCCCAGGGCAGTAACTCTATTGAACTGTATAGTGCAATATTAATGCAATATCAGGGGTTTTCAATTCAATGTATGGAAGTGAAGGATGTGTGTTTGTGTTTATTTTCATAGTCATAATGTACACTGAAGATAGTATTTAATTCCATTGTATGTGCTTGTCAGAGTTCCAGCAAACCTCCACTCCAACCAATAACTCCAAGACAGACATTACTCTCTTTTTTTTTTGTTAATAAAAGTTTTATTGATTTTAACAACAAATAAAAACACATAAAACATAAAACATAACATAAAAACATCATCATTCTTCATAAATTTACAGACAGTGTATCGGTTGGTTTACCACTCCTTTTTGTGCATCCATTTCGTAGTCATCATAATAATTATATTACATAATAACTCATATTATCAATCAACAATTATATATCCTAATATCATTATTAAACAATCATTTGACTATAATTTTACTAATTCATACTTAAGCGAGATAACTATAATTTAGTTAATTTATTTTATAACAAATCGTAAAATCATACCAAATCTATCTTAATAAAATATTCTAAAAATATTATCAAAACCAAAAAAATATATATATTCATTGTTTCCTAGGTTTCTAAATATTCTATTATTATATTGTTTTATCTAACCATTGATAAAAAAGATCCCAAACTTCATAAAATTGTTTATCTTCTTGTTCTCTAATTTCAAATGTCAATCTACTCATTTCAGCACATTCCAGTATTTTCTTAATAATTTCTTCCTCTAATGGTATTTTCTCACTCTTCCAATTTTTAGCAAATACAATCCTAGCCGCTGTTAACACATTTACAATCAAATACTTTAAGTTTTTATTGAATGTATCAGGTAAGATTCCCAATAGAAAAATCTTCGGTTTCAAATCTATATGTTCTTTTGTCATTTCTTCCAACCATATGCGAATTCTAGTCCAGTATTTCCTGGCCTCCTCACAAGTCCACCACATATGGTAATATGAGCCAGGGGTCTGATGACATTTCCAGCACTTTTCAGATTTGTTCTTGAACATTCTTGCTATTCTTGTCGGGGGGAAATGCCACCTGTAAAACATCTTATACAAATTTTCTTTATATGCTACTGACATTGTCATTTTATAATTTTGAGACCACAATTTTTGCCATTTCTCTAAATCAATCCCATATCCAAAATTCTTCCCCCAAACAATCATTGTTTCTTTGACTTGTTCTTCCTCTAATTTAATTTCCAACAAATAACTATATAGTTTTTTAATCACTTTTTCATCAGAACCTGTCAAAATCCTATCTAGATCAGTCAATTTATCATAAAATCCTTCTGTTTTAGAATCTTTAAGATACCTTGAGTGTATTTGCGCATATGAAAACCAATTCATCTTTATATCTTGTTCTTCTAGCTTTTGCATCGTTTTAAGTTCACCCTTTTCATCCAGTATTTCCCCATATCTAACTGTTTGTTCCTCCTTATAGATTATGGGATAGGAAAAAGCTTCGATAGTTGATAACCAGACTGGTATTTTCAAATAACATTGTTTCTTAATTTTCTCCCAATTCAACCATAACGATTCCCGTATATAATGCCTTCTGAAATAACCCTGCGATTTAGTTCCCTTATACCATAAAAAGGCATGCCAACCCAATAATAAGTCATGTCCTTCCAATGCCAGTAATCTAGACTTTCTTAACGTTATCCATTCTTTAACCCACATTAAATTTGCAGCTTGATAATACAACTCCCAATTAGGAAGGCCAAATCCTCCTCTAGTTCTAGCATCCTGTAAAAGTTTTAATTTTATTCTCGCTTTCTTACCTTGCCATATATACTTCAACACCATTTTATTTAATTCATCAAAGTAATCTTTACCAAGCCTAATTGGTATTGTTTGAAACAAATATAAAATTCTGGGTAAAATATTCATTTTAATTGTTGAAATTCTACCTATCAAAGATAATTGTAGGTTTTCCCATTTTTTCAAGTCAGATGCTATCTGCTGTTTAAGTTTGATATAGTTATTCTCTTTCAATGTAGTACATCTTGACGTCAAAAATATCCCCAAGTATTTAACTTTACTCGTAACTTGAATTTTCAATAGGTCTGCCAACTCTTCTCTTTGCCTTAATAACATATTTTTTGTCAGAATCTTTGTTTTGTCTTTATTTATTTTCAAGCCAGCCATCTCACCATACGTCTCTATCTTTTCCAGTAATTTTAAAGCTGTCTCTAGAGGGTCTTCCAGAATAAAGACCAAATCGTCCGCAAAGGCTTGCAATTTAAATTCCTCCTTTTTAACTTTCATTCCTTTTATATTTGTATCCTCTCTAATATTTCTATTTAACACTTCCAAAGTCAATACAAATAACAAAGGGGATAGTGGACATCCTTGTCTTGTGCCTTTTTTAATATTGATAGAGTCTGTAAATTCTCATTCTATCATCACTTTTGCTGTTTGCTTATAGTATATAGCTTCTATTGCTTGAATAAATTTTCTAGCAAAACCCATCTGTTCCAATAATAATAACATAAATCTCCAATTCACATTATCAAATGCCTTTTGAGCCTTTTGAGGGAAAATTTTTACTTCTTTGGCCCATTGTAAGAAAAGAGGAGTGGTTTTGTATATTAAAGAAACCATTCCAGCAAAACTGATTTATACTGATGAAGATGGAAGAGTATTAATGGTTGAAATTGTGGATAATAACACAAAGATACTCTTGGTTGCAATCTATGCTCCGAATGATAAACAAAAAAGATTTTATAAAAAACTACATATGAAAATAATTGAATTGGATTACGCTAATATATTTATAATGGGAGATTTTAATGGAATTGTAGACAATGAATTGGACTACACAGCAAAAATAGCACGACAAAATAGGAAGATTCTCCCTAAATCCTTTTTTGAAATGATAGAGGAACTAAATTTAAAAGATATATGGAGGGAAAGAAATACTAAAACTCAACAATATACTTTCTATTCGAATAGGCATTCATCATGGTCCAGAATAGATATGATTTGGACGTCAACAGAATTATTATCTAATATTCAAGAAATAAACATTGAAACAAGTACATGGGCAGATCATAACCCAATGACAATTAAATGGAAAGGACAAAAAAGAAGATCTAGATGGACATTAAATAATACTATCTTAAAGGGAAAAGATTTTACACAATGGATGGAAAAAGAACTGGCCTTCTTCTTTAATGAAAATAGAAAAGAAGATACTTCAATACAGAATGTTTGGGACACAATGAAGGCATATGCAAGAGGATTGATAATGGAATATACAAAGAAAAAGAATATTAGGAAGAGGCAAATGATTAAAACTTTAGAAGATGATTATAAAAAATTGGAAAAAGAATTACAGAGAACGCCACAGAAAAAAGATATTAAATTAAAAATGGACATAATTAAACATAAAATGGATCAAACAGAGAAAGAAGAATTGGCGCAAAAAATCAGAAGCGCCAAACAGACATTACTCTCTTTTATTTGGATAGTAACTGGCACAACTGGGGGAATCCCGAATCTGAAAATTCCGGGCTTCCTTCCAACAATCAAAATTATAAAACCAACCCCCTACACCTATCATCACATCACATGCCCCAATCATCATCCGTCCCAAATGAAGACTTCCCGTCATATATGCACACAATAGCATGACCTTGAACTACAAAAAGAATGTTAGTTTGTCTAACTACATATACCCCAAGAACTTCTACCCTCCCACTTTCCCAGGCTCAAAATGTGGCAGCATGGGAGCATCTGGTTTCAACATGGCTTCCAAAGCTGACAGAGGTGCAATGACAATAAAAATAAACTACAGCACTTTGCCAACAAAAAATGGAGCTCAGGAGGGCTGTGCGCGCCTCTCCTAAGCTCTGTTTTTGGCTGCAATGGCCTACAGCACTCTGCCAGCTGCCACCAGGTTGTAGATCAGCGCCTAGTCAGCCTGAGCTGGACTGAGGCACCATGGGCCGCTATTTCCAGGATGTTCCCGTGGGCCAGATCTAAGCACCCCGTGGGCCGAATCTGACCTGCAGGCCTTGAGTTTGACACCCCTGGATTAAGGCATCAGGCCAAAGACTGGATTATTTTGAATTCTAGTCCCTCCTTAGGGCACAAAGTCAGCTGGGTGATCTTGGACCAGTCATTTTCTCTCAGCCCTAGGAAGGAGACAATGGCAATCCATTTCTGAAAAACTTTACTAACAAAACTGCAGGGACTTGCCAGGAAGTCTCTGAGAATTGGACATGATTGAACGGATGAGAAAAAATATTCTATAATATATCCAATTAGAAAACACAACCCAGTTTGCAATATCAATTGTGATCACTAGCCAATAATTTAATAAAAAGACTGTCCATTTCACCATTTTTCCTGATCGTTTGAAATTTTTAATACATGCTATTTGCAGGCAAACTCAATACAATATATGTTGTAGTTTGCCTTTCCTTTGATTATTTGGTACAATTATATTATCCAAATAAGAGTGAGTAATAACTATAGATTCAGTGATTCAAACCTATTCTATGGCATGCATAAATGAGATGTCATTCACATTGAATTTGGGGGGGACAGTACCTTTTTTCACTAGTACAGTTTTGAGCTTCATTTAGCCACTAACAGCTGATAGCTTGAGCTATAATCAGTGCCTAGAAGTATCTTAAAAGGTGCAACTTATATGTGACAATTATGATAAGTATAATGGAAAAAGGTTACAAATTTTACTGCAAAGAAATGTAGTTTGACTCAGCTACTTCATGGATCTTCCTTTACAACACTTTGCCAGATGTTCTTAAAATAGGAAAATATTTTTTTAGAATAAAATAGTATGTTTTGAATTTCCCTCAAATTTCCACTTTAGGAGATTGTATCCTTGAATTTTACAGCTTTTTAGAAGGAGCCTGGTTTGGAAGAAAGGTTTATTTTCTGCCTTAAAAATAACAATTTAATATCTGAATTATTGCTCTGTCTTTATTTTCTTACAGAAATGGCAGTGCCAAAATGGTATCAAATGTTATTATAGATAAAGAAGAAGAAGAGGATGACCAGTTTATAGTGAAAGCAGAACAGCAGCTACCTGAAATAACAGAACTGAAAATGGTTAGTTTATGTGCTTTCTTATCTAAATATGAAACTGTTAATGTGTTGTTAACTGTTTTGCTCTCATTTTCTTTGTGCGATTTCAGTAGGTTACTTTCCACTTTATGTCTTGATGTTGAAAGTTCAAAACGAGACTACAGATGGAGACATTTTCCAATCTTAGTCAATCTAAGATTTGCAGTTATCTTTAGAATGGTATATATACATAATCTTAAGCACTCAGAGCAGAAAAACGTGGATGTTACATTATGTCATATCCCCAAGTACAAAGGAACCCATTAACACACTAATAGGTTTGAACCTGATCCATCTATGTATATTTGAAGAGTTCTAAATAGGACAAAGCTGGTCATATACTTCCTCCTGTGATCAATGTAAGTAAAAATGTTCACTTTTTCTTGACAAATATAAGAAAAATATTAGGCTGGTTTGTCTTCAGAATTTGATGGATATCTGAAGTCAGTGTAAGATCTTCTTACTGACAGTTCTGTATTTATTTCTGTGTGAATATGATCTGTTCTCCCCATAAGTACTAAAACTAGATAAAGAGAAGCCAATTAAAAATCAGTCAAAACATTATACTTGTTCATTTATTTATTGAGGAAAATATTGTGGTTTGTAGGTGACAAAAGTATACAAATGTCTAGAATTATCACTTTATTGGAAGGGGTAAATAAAGTCATCAATATTTCATCAATGAGATGATAATCAGGTGTGAGTATGATAACTAACAACAAAATTTTTAAAAATCATTATCTGGAGAAATACCTTTTTCATACACGGTGTAATGCAATTATTAGACTAGTATTTTGACCGTATCATCATTTTTATGCATATTTCCAACTCCAAGCTGCATAAATGTGAATGCTTATCAGGTGATGTGCATTTGTGTAATTAGGGTATGGCCTAAGGAGATAAACACCCTGTATCAAGGTGTGCATAATTATTAGGCAACTTCTTTTCCTCAGGCAAAATGGGCCAGAAAAGAGATTTAACTGACCCTCAAAAATTGTACAAACTTTTTCAGAGGGATGCAGCACTCTTGAAATTGCTACGGTATTGGGGTGTGATCATAGAACCATCAAACATTTTGTTGCAAATAGTCAACAAGGTCGCAAGAAACATGTTGAGAAAAAAGACATAATTTAAGTGCCAAAGATTTGAAAAGAATCAAATGTGATGCTACCAGGAACCCATTATCCTCCATTGCTGTCATATTCCAGAACTGCAACTTACCTGGTGTGCCCAGAAGTACAAGGTGTTCAGTGTTGAGACATGGGCAAGGTAAGGAAGTCTGAAACCCGACCACCATTGAACAAGACACATCAGTTGAAATGACTAAATTGGACAAAGACATATCTGAAAACAGATTTTTCAAAATTTTATAGACTGATGAGATGAGAGTGACTCTTGGTGGACCAGATGGATAGGCTGTGGCTGAATCAATAATGGGTACAGAGCTTCACTTTGACTCAGACGCCAGCAAGGTGCAGGTGAGGTATTTGGGCTGGTATTATTAAAGATGAATTAGTTGGACCATTTCAGGTTGAAGATAGATTCAAAATCAACTCCCAAACCTGCTGCCAGATTTTAGAAGACACTTCAAGCAGTGGTACAAGAAAAAATCCGCATATTTCAAGAAGGCCATGATTTTTATGCAGGATACTCCATCGTATCCATTGAAGTACTCCACTGCGTGGGTAGCCAGTAAAGTCTTTAAGGATGAAAGAATAATGACATGGCCCCCTTCCTTACCTGACCTAAACCCTATTGAGAACTTGTGGGCCCTTCTTAAAAGAGAGATGTGTGGTGAAGAAAAACAGTACAACTCTCTAAACAGTATAACTCTCTAAACAGTGTCTGGGAGGCTGTGGTTGCTGCTGCACAAAAAGTTGATTGTCCGCAAATCAGGAATGACGGATTCCTTGAATGGAAGGCTTATGATTGTTATTGAAGAAAATACTGGCTACAGTGGTCAGTGATTTTTTTTTTAAAAGCCAGAAATGTTTATTTGTAAATTTTTAGTTGTTTCTTATTATTGCTTTAACAGCTGAAAATAAATGAGTGAGATGGACAATTTTCATTTTTCATTTAGTTGCATAATAATTCTGCACATTAATAACAGAATAACAGAGTTGGAAGGGACCTTGGAGATCTTCTAATCCAACCCCCCTGCTTAGGCAGGAAACCCTACACCACTTCAGACAAATGGTTATCCAATCTCTTCCTAAAAATGTCCAATGTGGGAGCATTCACAACTTCTGGAGGCAAGTTGTTCCACTGATTAATTGTTCTGTCAGGAAATTTCTCCTTAGTTCTAAGTTGCTTCTCTCCTTGATTAGTTTCCACCCATTGCTTCTTGTCCTACCTTCAGGTGCCTTGGAGAATAGCTTGACTCCCTCTTCTTTGTGGCAACTCCTGAGATATTGGAACACTGCTATCATGTCATCCCTGGTCCTTCTTTTCCTCAAACTAGACATACTCAGTTCCAGCAACCGTTCTTCATATGTTTTGGCCTCCAGTCCCCTAATCATCTTTGTTGCTCTTCTCTGCACTCTTTCTAGAGTCTCCACATCTTTTTTACATCCTGGCGACCAAAACTGGATGCAGTTTTCCAAGTGTGGCCTTACCAAGGTATTATAAAGTGGTATTAACACTTCACATGATCTTATAGTTGCCCAATAATTGTGCACACATAGATATTCCCTTAAGAAAGCCAAAACCTTTCTTTTACTTCCTTAAATATTCAGATTTGGGGCTTAGTAACATTTTGGATTGATCGACTAGCACTGTAGTTGTTTAATAATAGAATTAATCCTCAAAAATACAAGTTGCCTAATAATTGTGCACACAGTGTATGTTAAGATGCCAATTGTTACAATCATCTTGGAAGATTTTTTTCCTGCATGCTGCTCTCCACAGTGATATGAGGGACAGCTACATACAAAGCTTCCTCCATTCTTGCTGTACAGAATGCCTAATATCCTCACTACCTGATATCCTTGCTAAAGCCTACCACTTCCAAAAAATTTGTTTTATTAATCAATAATTGTGTATTTGGGTATTGTTATTGACTTAATTTATTACCAAATTATATAAGCATTATTATTTCCTTAGTTTCTGCTATTTTGTTTGTATTGGTGTACTTGTTGGTATATAAATATCACAGAAAATTATGTATGAAAAAATGAAAAGAATATGCATAATCAGTATATGCACATATGAAAGAAATTGTTACTTTTGGAACAGAAGTTGAAGCAATTTCCTGCACATTCTTAAAATCTACTATAAAAGGTTTACAATGACGATAGGGAAACTTATTTTCTCCAATTACATAATTTTGGATTTTACCTGTTGAATGAACTCATTGAAACTGTAATAATTTGGATACCTTTTAGGAGCCTAAAACATGAATAATTCCTTCAAATCTTGTTAGAATATGATGATGTTTATTATGTTCTTAGAATAAGAGAAAGAGAGAGAGTTCCAAGTATTACTCCTTCTGAAGTATCAAGTATTAATAACCTTTCTGCAATTCAGAAACCTTTCTGTTTATCTAATTTAGGAGGCAACAGTAGAGCTTGAAGGAGATGAGAAACATGGTAAGTGTGTTGTTCAATAATATTTTCCTCTGCTTTTGTGTGTTCATTTTTATTCATCTATCATATAGCTAAATTTCAGAAAACAGAACTGGCTTAGTTGAAAGTCACATTTTCTTTAGCTCTGCCTTTCCTACTTTTGATAAAGATCCTTAGATATTTAGTTTTTTGTTCACCTCTTTCCGTTATTTAACTACTTGATCCAAGTTTTGCTTCTTTATTTGTTAACAATTTCCTTTCATTGCAGCCTAGTAAAAATAATTATTTTCATGGTTTCTATGGGTTACATTTCATATTGGTATCTGCACAGAACATATTTTAGCTAAACCAAAAGGTAGTAACTCTCTTCAATCTTCCTACATAATTGTAATCCAGTTTCTTTTTCTCTCCCACTCTGGTAATCTTGAAAGAAGCATTCCCCAGAACGTGCTTCTTTTATTGCTTTACTTGTTTCCTTAAAAAAAAATATTTTCTGCTATTTCCCTTCCTTATCCCTTTTTAATATCACCATTGTGAGAAGAAAGTATTTTATCTTAAAGATCCCTCATCAGATCCTATTATATAAATAATTTAGTATATGGTTTAAATTAGATATAGTATTATTCCTATTTCATGAGTAGAAAATTACAAAAACGTCATACCACATGTATGCAGAAACCACTGTTTTCACTTGCACTTTGGTAGCAAGCTTGAAAACCATTTGGAGTGCATCAACAATTATTGTTTGTAAGGCTCCATTCCCTCCCCATTTGCTCAATCTTTGCCAAATAAAAGTTTAATATTCATAATCATTAGACATTAAGTTGATTTCCTACTCATGCCATTCCATGTAGTCCAATAACCAATCAGCAGGATTGTCAAACTCCCACCCCTTGGGCTGGATGCGTCACATGCTGGCCATGCCCACGCCATATGTCACGTGACACCGTCGTGACAATGTGAGTTTGACACCCCTGGTCTAAAGGCTCATTTAAGAAGGTGATGGTAGGAAAGAATACAAATAGACAGAAAATAGAGCTTTCCTTCCATTTTCTAGAACATAAGAGGATCCTAACTTTTTCTGCCTTTCTCTGATAAGGCAAGCATGGATGCATTGAGCTGAACGTGTATAGGTAATCCTTGATTTAAAACCACAATTGAGTCCAAATTTCCATTGCTAAGCAAGACAGTTGTTAAGTGAGTTTTGGCCTACTTTACAACCTTTCATGCCACAGTTGTTAAGTGAATCACTGTGGTTATTTAGTAATGCAATTGTTAAGTTAATCTGGTTTCCCAAAAGGTCGTAAAAGGTGATCACATGACACTGGGACATTGCAGCCATAATAAATACATGCCAGTTGCCAAGCATCCAAATTTTGATCACATGGCCATGAGGATGCTGCAGTAGTCATAAGTAAAAAAAAAACCAACTCGAATGGTCACTAAACAACTGGTTGTAAATTGAGGACTACCTGTAATCTGTAGAAAAGCTCAAGATAGGTAGTTTCCAAATGTTACATATCCATCCCCCATGGTGGGCCCTTCCTACAGCCCCAAATCAGAGGTGAAGCAACCATGTGCTTAGAATTATTTGTAGTATTGCTGTATTGGTTCAAAGCAAATCAGACTAATTTACACCAAACTCACATCCAGGAAATTGGCTGGCTCATGTGAAAGAGAACAGAAAGATTTCTTTCCAGAAAGTAGAGTCAATAAAGGTGATAAAAGGACTTCCACAAACTGTATCATGAAAGAACAATACATAATTGAGGGAGTCAGACAAATGGTCAGAAGGCTGCTTCATTCTAGAGGAAGATAGCAACCTCTTTCAGACATAATTCTTGGGGTGCTTTTCCTTGGTCAACCAGTCCTGAGAAGGAAAATGATGGTGTTACATTTTCTTCATTTGTATATTATCTGACGAATATAGATCAGTAGAAGAAAGAGTCATTGCAATGGCACTTTCCAGCTTTACGAGCATTGACAGGTTCAGATAATTCTCTTTTGATTGAGGCAATTGTGTGTTGTATATAGCAGACACTAGTTGTTTCAATCAACATGTATAGGAGAGCCCTTCAGTCACATCTTTTTGTCATCTTATTAATTAGAACATCTAACTCATTCCTTTAAGAGACTGATTATCTTAGGAATTTTATGTACTTTTTCTAACAAAGACAGTAAAAGTTGGTTCACTGTGTTAAATGAAATTATGACAAAAGGTTTGCTCAAGGTCCTATTATGAAAGGTGAAAGAAACTGACCAGAAGGCAGTTCTTGACTGTAATTCACCCAATATTATAGAATGCACAGTCCCCAGGGATAAGTTTGCCCCCTTGGTATTCTGAAAAGCCCCCAAAAACATGCCTTAAGCGGATATTAGACTGAGTGGCCATTTTTCATTATATTGTTTTGATAATGTTTAATTTCTTTTATGGATTTTCAATTTTAAGGTTTTATTGTTAACCACCTAAATCTGATTGAGATGGTATAAAATTATATAAATGAATGAAAAAGATACCAAATGAATATTCTACTTTAAGTGTGATTGAGAGAAATATGAGGGGTTCTTGGTGCTCTCTAAGCTTGGTTATCTTCTTGCAAATGTTTCATTACCCAAGTTAGGTGACATCATTAGTGCTGATGATGTTGCCTAGTCTAGGTAATGAAAGGACCTCTCATTTCAATCATGAACTACAAATATTCCATCACAGTTGGATGGAAAGCCAAAGAAAATAGGCAAAAAAATGATACAACTCATGATCACAGAAGCACACCTTACCTTAATCTGGACACCACCATTATGAGTATTTCCTAGAGAGATGCCAAAAAATGGGGCGGGGGGAAACTTCAAAAAACCCTCTTCAAACTAAACCTCCAAATCAAAGAGACACCAGAGCCCAAATGTGTAGTCAACATATCCAGTCATCCACTATCCATGACAGAACACAATATTCTACAGAAAGGCCTCAAGTGTAACACTGATTATGTCAATCAATTGGAATTCTTTGCAGCCTCTAGCATTTGAAACTGCTAGACTACCCATAAGAGATCCATCAGGCAATCCATCATACCACAGACCAGAAGAAAATGAGAACAAAGTCAACTTACAGCAGAGGACAGAGCAGCCCCCAAAAGCCTAAAAAAGGACCAGACTATCATCTTCCCACCAGCACACAAGGCCAAACCAATTATTTAGATCAGATCACAATATAGACAAAAAATGAATTATTAGAAGACAAACAATCGGATCAAGAGAACTCTCCCAATAGACAATCAGATCAAGAGAACTCTCAGTGACTTACTGAGAAAGCCAAATTACCAACGAGGAACAGTGGCAAATGAGAAGCAATGGACCTGTCTCTCATGCTTCTATGGATGCCCCAAAATACACAAACCTGTCATACCTCTCCCCTATGGTGGACTGACATTCGAAATGAGACACAGGGAAATGTCTGAGAA